TTCCCCCTCTTGTAAACCCGTTTCCTCTGGCACACACACACAAAAAAAATTTAAAAAAAAAAAAAAGAGAAAAAAGGGACCAGCAGTTAGTGCAATGGCTATGTCGCTGGACTCCCATGTAGTCGACCACAGTTCGAGTCTCGGTCCTGATGGCTTAAAACTCACGCCAGGTGCATGTGCGTGTGTGCCCAAGATCCTGAGAGGAGAATGGAGGAGAAGGGATTACAGTGTGGCCATCTCCCCTGGGGAGTGATTTCTCGCTTTCTGTCTCTCTGTCTCTCTCTGTCTCTCTGGCAAGCGCACGCGCCCTATAGCAAAAACCTCTCAAAAACAAAAAACAAAAACAAAAACAAAAAGGAGAAAAAAAAAAGCTCCTTCTTAGTATGGATGCAAACTACTCTCTCCCTATCTTATAAATCTTAAGACCCAGCCAATCCACAGTTTTTTCAATGTCATAGATAAATCCTATTCTCCCTGTCTGGAATTTGTCTCACTCTCTCTTCTCTACCTAAAAGTCCTCTTTCCCACTTTGTTTGCCGAAATGTTGTTTTTCTTCCCTATAAATCTAATAGTCCCCCAATGGCATGCTGTAGTTTGCATTGCCTGCTTGTTCACATATAATTTATTTTTATAAGCTATTTTAGCTCTTTTGCTCACTTTTTAATTTATTTAAATATTATTATTTTAAGCAGAATGAGAAATATACATTTTGATTTTAATTTTTTAAAGTTTATTCATTTCTTTTTTTCATGAGAGAGAGAGAGAAAAGTACCCTTGACAGGATCTCCCCACACAGCATTTCCCTTCATCCACCTTCCAGAGATGCTTGACCTGTTTAGGTTGATCTGAGATCTGAACCGGTAGTGCAGTGGTCTCTCCTGCCTGTGCCACCATAGCCAGGCCTGAGTACACCTTTTGTTAAGAAAGATTTTTGCTATAGGACATGTGCACTCACCAGAGAGACAGGGAGACAGAGAGCAAAAAAAAAAAAAAAAATCACCCCCCGCCCCCGGGTAGGGGCATGGCCACGCTGCAATCCCTTCTCCTCCATTCTCCTCTCAGGATCTTGGGCATACACACACAGGTACCCAGTGTGAGTTTCAAGCCGCTGGGTCTGGTACTCTAACCCTCTAACCTCAGTTGGCTATGTGGGAGTCCAGTGACATAACCATTACTCCATCTGCTGGTCTCTCAGTACACATTTTTAAATGAATAAATATTTTGATATTACATGAATAACAGAAAATAACAGAGATCATTAACTTTTTTGAACACTTCTTAGAAACCTGTATTCAAGGTAGTGTCAAAAAACCACTTTGGGCAAGTTATTTAATCATGCAATTCATGTATTTGTGATGGTCTCCGTCAAACAGTTCTCTTATTTGGGGAATAGCTCTAAAATGTCCTATTTCTTAATTTGTTCTTTATAATGTTCTTCATACTTATCTTTTCCCAGCACTCATTTAGTCCTGCGTATCTAGTCAACTTCTCATATTTTGCTAATTCTACTGAAATGAAAGTTCATTGGAAGATCTTGCATCCATTCGTGAGTCTGATCTTTTATTGTCTAATTTTTACTTCTAGCTGTCCCACAGAAAAATTACTTACAAGGAGAGAATCAACATCTCTCAGGAACTCTGCAACAATTAGCACAGCGCTTCTGCCAGTATTTAATCAAACAATCAGAACAAAAAAGTAAGTGAGGCTTGGTAACCACCTCTTCTCCCTGATCCCGGTAGTATCCTGTGATGTTAACTAAGGGGAGTCTTCAGATCTGCAGGAAATATTGACTGAGGCGGG